CGCAGACCAACGGTGTTGCCCTAATCACGTACCACTCCCAACTCAACCTGAGCCCCATGGTGTCCAAGGACGTGCTGGAAGTCGCCTGGGAGCAGCTAAAGGCCCAGGCCGCGAGCTGGGATCCGCCACTGCCAAGCGACCTGCTCTGGCAGTCACCACAGCAGATCGCCATGCTTGCGTACTTGTGCCAGGAGTGGAGGGGGCGGTTAGGGACGGCTATCACAGCTGCGGAGCTGGTCGAGCAAACCCTGACAGGAAAGCTCATTCCCGAGGTGGGGCCTGCATAATGCAATCCTGCAAATGGGAACGGGTACAAAGCATGGTCAGGTGCTGGCTGTGAAAGAGTGTGCTGCTTGCGTGTTGAACGGCAGCTGGTGGAGCCAGACGGTTTCGACTAGCAATCCCTGATTGCCGCATGTGATCCCTATTCAGGTGCTGGCGGACATGCGCATGGTACTGCAAGTGCTGGGCCAGCCTACTTCACAGGTGCTGCTCCTGCGCGAGCTGGTGGACACAATGGCTGGAGTGGAGCGCGCCAAGCTCCCGCTGGCGTTCAAGGCGCTGCTGGCCAACTTCACCACCGAGCGAAACGGCAGGCTGTATCTGGATAACCCGCTATTTGCTCAGGTGCTGCAGGTACGGGCGTAATGCCAACACATGCCCATGTACATCAGGAATACCTTCTGAGTAGCACATGTTCACCAACCAGGAGGCCCTAGAGGCTTGGGCCAATACATGCAGAACTTGTGTTCAGGTGCACACCTGGAGAAGTGGGTGTTTGAGGCGCTCACCCAGGTGTCTGTCGGTTTTCAAGGCATGCGGGGTGCTGCAGTGACACAGAATCGGAAGGGTTTCTGGGACACAGGAGACTGGACCGTGCGAGGCGAGAGGAGACGAACTTGTACTGCTGCCCTACACAAAACATACTTGCTACCTGTCGCCGCCTGCTCTTCCCTGCTCAGGCGGCCACCACGGAGTCTGGAGAGCTGTTGGACTCAATCACCGCCATCCTGTCGCTCAGCTCCACGATGTTCAGGGAGCTGGTTGTGCTCGGCGAGCGCTGCAAGGACAAGGACTTCGACAGCTACGAGGACCTGCACAGCCTCCTGGAAGCCATGGCATCTGTGCTGGCGCTTACACCGGACGGGCTGCTGAAGGCGGACTGGTTCATCCAGGTAAGAATGCCAGTGAAGGGTGTTGGGGCGTGGGGGGGGGGGGCGAGCTGCTGTACTGCAAGATTGGCGAGTCCGGCCAGGAGACCCACAGCAGGGTTCGACAGTGACCTTCCTGAAACTTGCAGGCTCCCCTGTACCTCCCAAATTTTCCTTACGGAGGGGCCCCTGTACCAGGCTCCTGTACCGGCCGAAAACCTTAGGGGGGCCCCCATAATCCCCACAAAACCTTTACAGGGGCACTGTCCTTGGCTGAAACGCTGTGGAAAGTGATGCTTTGCATTTTTTGCCCTCTAAATCATTATTATCGTTATTTTCTCGTGAACCATTACACACGGGGACATGGCACACTCAGCGAACGCCAAGCGCCTTGGCCGCCGTGGCCGCCCATCCCTTCTGCTCCTCTTTCTCGTCCTCCTCATCATCATCAAAATCCTCATCCATGCACGACTCATCGGTATCTCGTTCTACGTCGGTCTCGTAGTCATTGTCACTAAAAGCCTCATCATCACTAGTGGGGTATGTTGCTTGTACCAGTACTTCAATCTCTGGGTCGGTCGCAACCTCCTCATTATCATCCTCTCCATATGGATCCAAATTAATTTTGCTAACGTCAGAAAACAACTTGTGAATAATGCCTGTATAGCCCTTACAAGAGTAGATCTCAGCAGCCTGATCAATCAGTGGCTTCACCCCGGTATCAGCAGCAGGTCCCAACATCCCCACACGAAGTAGCGAATCAACAGTTTCCAGCTTTAGCCGGTTCGTCAGGCGATTCTTAATAATACGATGCCGGCTAAATCCGCACTTAATGCATGCCGTCTGTGTTGGCAAGATTGTAGCGACTTGAGCCAAACGCATCATACGAAGGAGATGGGCTTCAGCACGCAAACTCACCCTCGCTGCCTCCCAAGTCACCCTGCCAAGCGAAATGTAGTAAGGACCGTTAGAGGGGCGACCAAGACAACCCAACCAGGCACCAAGAGGGCAGGCAAACGGAACAAGGGGTCAGAGTGCAGCACCTGTCGAATTCCAGGCATGACGCTTGTCCGAACAGCTGGAGTCATCATGGGGACTGCAGCCAGCCAACAGGGCCGGGCCGCAATGCCACTGGCATGTACATCCCTGCTTCCCATGCAACTGCGTTGATCACGGCCCCGGTGCTCCATCTACCTGCAGGTCCGGGACCACCGCTGCAACAGCCGCGGCACCAAGACCAATTTTGAGCGGGACGACAGGGCTCAGACTGACGTCAAGGTTGGTCTTCGCTGGTTCCACAAGGTTGCTGCG